CACTTTACGGGCCGAAGAAACATTTCTATTAAAGAAAGAATTATACATTTCTGTCTTTTTATGCCTTTAATAGCTACTAACTTGAATTTGTATTCAAATGAATTAATCAATAATTGTTTACATTTTATTGTAATGTAGAGACAAGGCTTTTAGTGGCAATCATGTATTGTGCTACAATTATATGTAAAAAAAAAAAGAATACAAAAAAAAAGTCTAAATATGATATTTGGCCTCAAATCTTCTGAGGCCTGGCACCCCCCTGCGACCTTTGGCGCCCCGCCCCCCAGGTTGGGAACCACTGGTGTATAGGGTGTAGGGGGCGGTTTGGGATTGGGCCTCCCTCAGGGACTTATTCCGGTGTGAACGCGATCTGCTCTTTAGTTCCGGGAACTAAAGAGTTCCGATGAACTAAGTACTGGGAACTAAGTACTGCAAGGACTTGGTGTGAAAGCGCCTATTGATTGTTATTCATATAACTGATCTGTTTAATGTGCTAAAGTGCAGGTGTCTGATTAGTTTTCATCTTCCCTCACTTAACGGTGGCCTCAACTTCCCCCTCATTCATTTACTTTTCCTGAACCAAATCTTCTTCATTTCCTCCAGCGCTCCTTTCATCTTCCCTTCACCCCTCCCCCTCATCCCTCCACCTCCTCCTCCATCTCTGCTGGATATCTCTGTTTCACCACCCAGGGTATCTGTAGACTGCACACCATGTTTGCATGGAGCGATTCTGCACCCTTTGCCATGTCGATGCTGCATGTAAAAAAATTAAGATGTTTGAAAAAACGTCATGTCTCTGCAGTAAAGCATACAGAGGTCACGTTTACCATTGGATTTTAAGAACTCTCTTTCTAAAACACTATATTTTAAGTATTGACAAATAATTTATTTCAGTAAATCACAATATGCTTTGATATTTAAGTAGCAGTAGAAGGCAATCACATTGAGGTTGAAAGATAATACATCTGTCTGTGAGAGGAATACATGACATGTACACAAATGTTTCCGTCTCTACTTCCTGCTTGACAGAATTTTATCATCAAAAATGCTGCAGGAATATTTTGGGAGCACAACGAGTCCCTGGACTTGCTGAAGGTAACATAACCAACTGTTACAGCAAGCAGTTTGGTAGCTTGTGTTCCCTGACTGTGTATGTCTTTGCAAAGTGTTCTGTTCTCATGCTGTCAGCCTCTCTGATAAAGGTTATAAATCTCTCTTTATCTTGTATTCTATATAGCAACCTCCTAGGAGCACAAAAAAGATATTTTGGTTGTGTGCTGCGGAGACCAAAACTCGTACATGTTACCATTTACCTGAAAGCATATGTCATTAAAATGTTTAATCAGTGTCAGGTTTGACTTGCTTGTGTTTCCTAAAGTGATGTGTCAGCATGTTGGTCTTCTGTATGGCTGTAACTAGACAACCATTAAATCTATAAAATATTCAGCAGTCATCTCTTTCCGTCTCCGATTCTCCCCTCACGCTTTTTTACTTTCCATCCTCACTCTGTCTTCTTACTGTCTTCCAGCCATCCTGGGTATGCACACCCTGATGAGTAACCAGCAGTACTATGAAGCCCTGGCCAGCAGCAACATAGTCAACAAGCAAGGCCTCAACAGTACGTAAAAACACACACTCTCCCACGTATGTACTTGCACTTTTTAGTCAGATTTGACTGAGTCTTTTGAATGTTTAAAACTGAAAGCTGTATGAGCAGTCTTCACTTGGTTCCATTCTAAGTGCATTTGGTGCACAGCATGAGTAAAAGTATCCTAAAATAAAGATAATCACTCAACTATTTGGAAGAGAGAAATCACCTCATTCAAGAAAAATGCAAAGTGCAATGATCTCATGCTGGCAGAAAGTTTATTTAACCTAAGATGATCAGCACTGACTTTTTTTGTTGCACTCCACACATGTTAACATTTAACTACACAGCCTAAACTAGAAGTAAGGTGTTCAGTAGATATAAAAGTGTCTACAGACTCTCATACATTGTTCTATAGCTCCTCCAGGAATAACTGATGATTCATCTGTTTACCCTTAATCTAGCACTGGTAGTGTAAACTCTCTGATACGACACACACACAGACACACACATCACATGTTAATGAGCCTGTGTTTATATTGCATGGCGGCTCATCCTATAGCTTCTGCTCCAGCTCTAAACAGAGACAGAGGCCGAGCACCTCACTTCCAAATATGACCGGCTCTGATAAAAGAGCCAGCTACGAACTCGGATTCGCCTGCAGAATTTCGCGCTTGGCAAAACACAGGAAGTAAAAAATGATTTTTGAACAATGATTTGTTATTATGTTATAGTTTGAGACTTTTATAACATAAAAACAGTTGTATTTCAAAAATAAATGTTGCCCTTTGTGATACTACATTAAGGGAATGCTGTAAATGTGCTTGTTAAGTAAGGCAAGGCAAGGCAAGTTTATTTATATAGCACCTTTCAACACAAGGCAATTCAAAGTGCTTTACAAAAAATGAAAGACATTAAGAAAATGGCATTTAAAATCAGTCATTAAAAAGAAAAGATAATAAAATAAACATAAGTAAATGGAATTTAGTATCCCAATATTGTTATTATCAACCTACTTTTCTTACTGTAGACTTACAGAAATTACATACCGACAGAAACATTGTTTCACGCCAATTACTTACTAAAATAACTTTATTTACTCATTGTAGATGAAATAAAACACACTTCCAATGCACCAGAAAGAAAAACAATACTTTTGCTAGGAGTCACTGGCAGGCACTGTTCTCTGCTCCTGTGGTAGTAAAGGTTTGAATGTACTACTGCTGTGGCAAAGTGGCTGTTGACATGTCTGTACTGTGAAAACCATTGGCCTGGAAAGTGGGATAAAGCTGACAAATCTATGCATGCTGTGTTTAAAATGATCAGCATTAGCCTGAGTGCAGTTAAACAGGGTCTCTCTGGACATGGCAGGCTAACATGCTTTGTTTGGCCATTGCTTTAAGCAGATGATAAGTTACCAACATCAGATAAAACTTCTAACATTGTTCGGTGAAGTCTGGCAATCTTTAACTCTTTATGAGTGAAGTGTAGAAAGGGCGTCAAACATGTTTAAATATGCGTTGTTCCCACAGTCAGACTGGTTTGATCCACAGCTGTGTGTCCTGTGTTGTAGGTGTGATCCAGTGCGCCCAGTACAAAGCAGTCCCAGATGAAGAGCCCAACTCCACTGACGTAGAAGAGACCCTGTTGAGGATGAAGAGGAACGACCCCGACCTGGTGGAGGTGAACCTCAACAACATCAAGGTGTGTCTGGAGCTTCTACTTGAACCATCATTCCTTAAAGATGAAAAATCTTCCGAAATATATTTGTCTCTCTTATTTAAAGTTATCTGTCCCTGACTATTTGTTTTTTATTTTTCTAGTACCTTCTTCTACATAAAACTAAACTCTGTGACACAAAAAGCACAAACAAACTAAACATTGGTGCACAACATTCATTTTCAATTTCCACCTATAAAAATATACTTTTTAAGTAAAACACTTAATATTGAGTGTAACATATAGCATTTACTGTAATGTTTATCTGTACCCAGAATATCCCCATCAAGACTCTGAAGGCGTACGCTGATGCTCTGATAGAGAACTCTGTGGTGGAGAGGTTTAGTATTGTGGGAACCAGGAGCAACGACCCTGTAGCATTTGTAAGTCACAACTGTTACATTTTACACAAAATGCTAACCAGAATGCCTTCAACCTGTTTCTTTCTTTGCATATAAGATAAAAACAGTACAACAAAAACAATTATATGTGATCTTTATAATAACTCCTTCTGCATGTCATCCCTCTGCCTCTTTTCTCTTGTTTCTTTTACTATTTAATTAGACATTTGCTTAAAACAGACTTTAGGTTATGGTTATGAGGTTGGAAAAAAAATGTTGCATAGAAATGAATAAAGTCATGTACAGTGTGTGCTGTGTGTGTGTCCTCAGGCCCTGGCAGAGATGTTGAAGGTGAACACGACGCTGAAGAGCCTGAATGTGGAGTCTAACTTCATCACAGGGACCGGCATAGTGTCCCTCATAGAATCACTGCAGAACAACACCACACTACAGGAGCTCAAGATAGACAACCAGGTACCAACACACACACACACACACACACACACACACACACACACACACACACACACACACACACACACACACACACACACACACACACTTAAACACACACACTTAAACACACACACACACACTTAAACACAAAACCCACTTGCATATATAGATGTAGATTTATACAAACGTATAATGCATACAACTGAGATGGTATGTGTGTATTAAGTAGTGTATACAGGCCTCCAGTATAATGCACCCAGATTATATTGTCATGATATACTGCATAGTTCAACATTACTCATTAGTTCATTATCCGTGTTGCTTTTGCCAATTTTTCTCCTTGGCGTTGACATAACAGCAGTTATTTTATTTATTGAAGTCTATTCACAGTACCTTTTTTGTCCAGTTTTAATGCTCCAGCTTTCCCCCTTTGTTTACAAACTCCAGAGCCAGCCGCTAGGCAACAAGGTGGAGATGGAGATAGCCCGCATGCTGGAGAAAAACACCACGCTGTTGAAGTTTGGATATCATTGCACCCAGCAGGGTCCGCGCCTCCGAGGCTCCAACGCCATGATGAACAACAATGACCTGGGTGGGTTACACACACACACACACACACACACACACACACACACACACACACACACACACAGTTAGTCTCAGTACATTAACTCTGCAGGAAAACACACACACACCCTCCTCTGTCTTGTGGAACGCTGAGGCAGCAAAAACAGAAAACGTACGGTGTGTTTTTTCTAATAATACGATCTATTATTCATCAGAGCGGAGACTTATTCACACACTGAAGTGATTTCACTACTTTGTCCGGTCTCATCTGTTTTTGGCCTCGTCGCTGTAAAAGGAGAGCCATGCATCTCATTATTTGGTGATTTCAAACTGAAAGGATTAGACGTCTTTTGTGGAAACCTGTTGCTACTGGTGACAAAAGTCAGTGAGGTTTAATGTTACAGCAAACACTGGTGCAGCAGGAGAGGTTTGGTGAGTTCATAGAGATGTGATACAGAGCAAACAGTGATGCTGTTGGTGATGGTATAGATAAAGTGGAAAAGCATGGACCTCAACCAAGGCTCTCTCTCGCATTATAATACATTCATTATAATTCAGACTAATTCAAAACTGTAGCATTTTTAATAAACTAGGGTGCACGATAATTATCGGTCCGATATTAGGAATTAGGACGTCATCCCGATAAACCCGATAAAAGTATTAATAGCCCCGATAATATACAATATATTTTTTGGATTAAAAAAGAAAAAGATACTGCGGTGTGGGTGGATTGGGATGAGGGGCCGCTTGTTTTTCACAAATCCAGCGCTCCCTAACTCATGCCTGGCTGTGCGGTAATGGGTGTGCGGCCGTGAAGCCAGGACAGTAAACAAACATGTTGTCGGTAGTATGGGACTATTCAAAAGTTTCAGAGTTAGATAGTTCGCTATTTGTATTAACAAATGCAATGCAGAAGTTCCACGAGGAGGGAAAAAGGCAACAGGTACATTTAATATATATATATATTATTATTATCGGTTATCGGTATCGGTCTGAGAAGCAGGAAGATTATCGGTATCGGTTTCAAAAACCAATATCGTAGCATCCCTATAATAAAACACATTTTAATCTATTTGATATGGTTATTATTTAACTTGACTTCTACTTGATATTGTTTTCTTAACATGAAATAAATACCGTCTCAAAGATAAAAATTGTTAATCTCATCAAAGTCATTTTAGTGATGGTTTCTCATAAAAAGCGACAACCAGTATATATTTTAATTCTGCTGGGTTAAAAAACACATTATTCATTTTATGCTCGTCATAAGTCATACCTAACGTGGCTCGAGGTTTCCTTATCACCTGTAAAAAGCATGACCAAACCCGCATGACTTTCTTTTCTTTATAATTGGGTAATGGGAGTTATTGAACCCATTTTCCCCACCACCTTTTCCACCATCCCCTCCATGTGTGTGTGACAGGATAACGTGCCAACAGTGGTTGTTCTAACTAATTATAATCACTTAAAATTCTATTTCTAATTTTTAACCAGGTGTGTGTGAGGTAAGAACAAAGCAACATATCCCCCATCGATGAAAACTAAGAACACCGTACACATGGTCTCAAGTAGGGCTGCAAGATTTGGGAACTTCCTCTGGAGGAACTTTGGGATTATTGCATTTCTGGAACATTAAGCCATGCACTAAAAACCTAGATAACTACAGGACAGGGAAACCCAAGAAAAGCACGATATGGCTCTTTAACAAGAATGGAGGATAAAGATTTGTAAGCCAGTATAT